TTTTGGTAATATTAGACATTTTAATTTGCTTATAGAGAAAATTATATGTAAAAGTTGTAGAATAAGAAAAGAAAAAAAAAGATACATAAAAGTAAATAAAATATTTATTATTTTGAAAGTTTTATTTGTTTTTTGTTTTTTGTTATTTTTTAAAAAGAAAAGAATAAAAAAATATGATGATAGTTATTAATATGAAAAAGAGATTTAGTATGTATAGAATCTTTTAATATGTAGAAAAAATAAAAGTAACTTCTTTTCTTTGATTAGATTTTGAGATTTATGCTCTTGAAAAATGTAACTCTATCTGATTAAGAGATCAATAGAGGAGAGATGTGAAAAAAAGTTTATTATTTACTTATTATTAATATTAATATTAATATTAAAATTATTTTTATTTAAAAACTTTTATTTTATCTAAAATATTAAATACTTATATTTATTTATTATTTAATTATTTTTATAATTAAATACAAAAAATATTTGTTATAATTAAATAATTAAATAAAACTATTAATATTTTATAAATTTATCTTTAATATATTTTATTAAAAATTAAAATATTTAAAAAAACTTGTTTAATATTAGTTATAATTATAATAATTATTTTTATTTTTTTAACATAAAAAATATAGTTTATTAAAGTTAAAAATAAGTAAATATAAAAAATTTTTTATTAATCTTAACTTTTAAAAATATTTATAAAAAATTGCAGAATTAATTACAAAATAAATCAAATATATTGAGCAATTTATAAAAATTAGAAGTAAATATATAAAAAAATTCTAATAATCAAATTTTAATAATCAAATTTTAATCAACAAATTTGTTTATTAAATAATTTAAAAAATAATCTATTTATTATTTTATATTAATTTAAATATTAAATTACAAAAATCTGATTATATATTTTAAAAATATAAATATTTAATAATATCATATAGATTTAATATAAAATCAAACTGAAAAATAATCAAAATTTATAATAAAATTAATAAAAAGAAATTATATTATCAATAAAAAATATCAAATATTAAATATTTATATTTAAATAACTTAATACAAATTAAATTAATTATATAAGTTATTAATTATTAAAATAAGTTGGTTATTATTTTTATTTTGTTAATATTGCAAATTTTTTTAAATTATAATTAGTTTTTAATTTAATTTTATATTAATAATATTATTAATAAATATTTAATATTTATTTTTGTTTTAATAGTAATATATTATATAAAATTTAATAATTAAAACTAAATTAAATATAATCAGATCAGATATTTAAATTATAGTCATAATTATTTGAATAAATATAAATAGATTAATTTAAAAATCAAATTAATTGATTAATTCATTAATTAGTTCACTATTAATTCATTTATTATGTCAAATTGAATTAATCTAATAAAATATGTATTATATAGTTATAATTATAGCAAAAATTATAGATAAAATAATTATTATTATAGTTAAATCTCTTTCTATTTATAGCTACATATCTCTATAGTTACTCTGTTTTGCTTTTCTATTTATATATAATATAATAAAAAATCTCTCTATAGTTATATTCTTTCTATAGTTATCAAATTTTGCTTTCTTGAAAGTGATAAATATAAAGAGATTTGGCTGTAATAATAATGCATATTAAAATTAAAATAATTATTAACTAGTTATAAAAATCATATTGTGTATGAAAATTAAATTTTTATAGTATTAATCATTATTATAATTATTTACAAAACAAATATTATATATATATTTATAAATTTGTAATAATTCAACTAATTATATAAGTATTTTGAATTTGAATAATATTTTTATTTGAATATATTTGTTAATTATCTAAATAATTTATGAGTTAAATTTTTAAATAATTCAGATCATATTTTTTTGAATGGATTCAATTACTAAAATTTAGCCAAGTATTAAATATACTATAGATATATACATTTCTATAATATATTACTGAAAATTTCAAAAATGAATTTGTTACATTAGAATCTGCTATTTTAATATCCAGTAATTCTATTTAAACAAAGATATCACTATTAAATTTGTATATCAAGATAAATCTAGACTTAATTTTCAATTTACTATTTTGCTTTAGTGTTTCTCCCATTTTTGTAAAAAATTAGTATTATTGTATTTAACAAAGCTAGATGAATATAATAACAGTGTGTTTGGAAATAAGAATACTTGTTGAAATCTCTTAGTAACTGCTAAAACTGCCAAAATTATAATAAACTATTAGTAAATAGAACACGAAACTCTGCTGAAATTCTAATTAACAATTAGTGTATAATCCACTGAAACTCTGCTGAAATATTTCTGGATGGGTTTCAGCAAACATCCTTATTTGGAAATAATGCATTCATTTTAATTTTAAGCAAAAAAATTGATCCAGTAACTTTGGGACGCAATATCTCGTGGTCCAAAAGTTGAATCCTGATGAAATTACACCATTCGATTTGCCAAGACTAGACGGATCGAATGGTGTATTATTTGTCTGGATTGAAAATATGAATCACGAGATATCGCGTCCCCCAATTTTCCGTTTTTAATCAGATTTTAATCCGGAAACTTTTATAACTAAACTGTGGTTTTCCGGAACTAAGAAAACCGGATTTTTGCCTGATTATTTTTTTTAGTGCTTGTGTCAAAGTATAACAATAAAACCTACAGTCTGGATATAACGATAGATCGGCCCAAGCTCAAAAGATCGTTATAATAAGTGTTATATAGAAAATTATTATAAATGTATCATAATCAGGAATTTGAAATAAGTTTGCAATAATCAAGTTCAACTGTAATCAATAATAATTAATGTAATTTTATGAGGTAGATAATTTTTTTATTAAATAAAGATATTAGAATTTGCTAACTTGTTTTTATTAGAATTGACCGTTCAAATCTGTTTCGATGTATTATAAATGAACACACTACATGTCGAATATTCATTATCTTCTTTTATCTGTATGTTGGTATATAATAGAATTTCTCTCATTTCTATATACAGGACAATGACAATACTTCTTTGATCTTTTTTTGTTTTAAACCATTCCTAAATAAAAAATGTGAAAAAAGCTGAGCAGGAAATCGGCTCTGGGACCATTATGCTAATTACGAACTCATAAAAACTCTAACGTTGCATCCAAATAAAATACTGTGTTGTAAGATGCACGTTATTTCGGGACGCACATGGGCGTTATTTTGAAACCAATTATGCTATTTTTAGAAGGTGCGATTTTCGAAATAACGCCCATGCCCGTTATTTCGAGAATTTACGGTACGTCAATACTTAAATCTCTTCTTTTCTATTGAATAATGAATGCCCATATAGAAAATATGCGAGCGTACATTTGTAATAGGTAACTGTTTTTCAGCCACACAACAATATTAAACATTATATATGTATTTTGCAGTATTCAGTAAATGTGTTTGTGTTTCTTGTTTTTGAAGAATAATCTTTTATACTACTAATAGGGTTGTTAATGGAGCACTCCGACTCATATTAAACATATAACCCACTCCGGAGTGCTCCATTAACAACCCTAGCTACTAAATAGCAATACAAGCTTTAACTAAGAATTAAGATAATAGTGATTTTTCTATTCCCGAGATTAGATTTGAAGAATTTAACATAATTTTTAAGAATATTATTGAGAGCAAAAGCAAAATGAAAGCTACCTATGTTTCTACTGGCAAAAATCATAACATAGAGGTTAAAAAGTCAATTATACAATAATTTTTCAAATAAAATAATTTTGAATCAAAATTTTAATATGGATGTCATGATCGTATTCGCAAATTTATCGTTCATGTACATGTATCTGCATTTGTCAAATTGCAATTCCGGTTATCTGAATCAATCGAATATTCAATCAATTCGCCGATCTGTCAAATTTTCGACATCCCGAAAACCATAATCCAGACAAGACAAACGAAATCCCGAATGAACAGCATATCGAAAGGACGAAATCTCGAATGAACAGCATACCGAATGAACGAAATCCCAAAAGGATAGCATCCCGAATGAACGAATTCCCGAATGCACAGCATACCGAATGAACGAAATCCAGAAAGGACGGCATCCCGAATGAATGAAATCCCGAATACACGAAATCACGCATTTACTAATTCACCCCAGGTTTCTGATTGGATGCAAGTAATTTCTATCGCTGATTAGTTGACTGCATACCGGGTTTTCTAGATTAACTAATAAAAATGCATAAATTTTTGATCAGACCGGCAAAACAAATCCGACACAAGAAAATTAAAAATGCGAATAATGTGAAATATACGGAAAACGAATGCTTAAATTTTGCTTTGAAGCACTAATAAAGAATGTTGGGGAGGCAATTTTACATATAACTTTATCCTCAACTCTAACCATAACCCCAACGCTAAAATTAACCTTTAATATCCTCAACCAATCAGAAACCTGGGGGATTAGTAAATGCATGATTTCGTGCATTCGGTATGCTGTGCATTCGGTATATTATTCATTCGGGATGTTGTCCTTTCGGTATGCTGTTCATTCGGAATTCGTGCTTTCGGTATGTTGTTCATTCGGATTTCGTGCTTTCGGTATGTTGTTCATTCGGATTTCGTGCTTTCGGTATGTTGTGCATTCGGGATTGTGGTTGTCGGGATGTTGAACGTCACCAGATACCGATACCCGATACATTTTTTTTATTATTATGATCGTGAATACAATATTCAAATAAAATGCTTTTGACAATTATAAAATGAATAACTTATTTGCATTTATTTTACCATTTTAAACAAAATACATGTCAAAATTTATAACTTAAATTAAGCTATAATAAACTATATTCATTATAAAATAATCCAATACATATAAACTTATAGATAGCGCACCATCAAGTCTATATAATATTGGAACGCTTTTATAACAGCGCACTGTCGTCAAACCTCCAAGCGCAAAGAATATTAATAATTAAAAATAAAATCAAAAATGAATTAAAATTATTTCGATATTATATAAAAATGTCATTTTTATAATGGTGCTGATTCATGTCGTTTACCCCGCCTTTTATTGGTGATATAAACATTCGTTGCGCGTTTTCTTTAACGATAATGGGCGGGATACCCTGCGGTTTGTTTTCCTTATACTTCGTATTACTCGGACACTGACCAGATTTATGAGATTGTCCAGATTCATAACAACATAAATTGCGATTAGGGCAATTTTGATAATTATGACGTACTAGACGTCCACAACACCAACACATTCTATCTTTTTTGAACCATTCCAAAGTCACAGCACAATAAATAAGTAACCAATTTCTACACCGATTAGTTACGCAACATTGATTAAAGGTATCTTGGGGCTGCATAACGATAGTGCAATTTTCCGGACTCCACCCCGAATATATCCCATATATTTTTGAACGTATATCACCGTTGCTCGTATTTTCAAGTACATCTTCAATAGTATCATTAACACTTACCAAAGGTGTTAAAATTGATCCAATCGACCATTTAGAAACCTGACCAATCACATAATATCCAAGTAGAACGATATTTGATATTGGATAACTTTTTTTATAAGATTTGTTGTGCTATATTCCCTCAGTTGTTGTATTGCTTCATGTGACGCGCGTCTTTATCGTAGTTCACCTTGGCAGGCATTATAAGATCACCAGCAGGTAGATGTGAAGACGTTGTAAGATAATTAATAGGTAGATGTGGAGACATTGCAGGAAAACGTGGAAATTCACGCGAGATAGATGTATCAGATATTGAATCAGTGTCTGTTGGTTGAATATTCATTTGAATGTCCGTTGGTATGAGTGAGTATCACCTGGATAAAATACAACTTTAATGTTATTAACCCAAAGAATTAATGGATAATGTGTTAAATAATATAGTACCCTGAAGCATGTCAACTTGAGAATTGTAATAGGGCGTGTGGCCGGCAAACATAATGTATAAAAGAAATATAGAAAATAAAGCAAAAATAATTATAAATACGTACATATAACTACCTGATCAATGTGGCTGTGATTGCGAGGAAATACATTCCATTTATGAAACGATAAGATCAGTAACAAAAGCAGACGTATTGCCTGGCCTGGTGTGACTACACTCTGTATTAACCAACAAGATCGGGAAGAAAAAGCCGAAGAGGTTAAGAAAATGAGAAAATGTTATGGTAACAACAAAGACAATGTGGCTGTGATTGTAATATTCGACATTCATACATAGATACATTCTATTTATAGACGGATGTACGTTCTTGTAATGATGAACGTGAAAGGTGCTATCAGAAAAGGTCAGACGTATTGTATGTCGCGTTATCACTTTTTCGATGGCTTTCAATTACTAGGTCGCGCATTATTACATTATTATTATTATTATAATCATAGTAACTATCAAGTATCGGTATTGTGTGAAAAAAATGTCAAGTCAGCATAATTTAATTTGATTAATGCTGATAAATTATCAATGTATCAAATTATGAATGTGAAGACTTTGTTGTCATGTTCGTACATATACCATTCAAGTGCGATATTTAGTATTTTCATTGTCGTCTTTCTTGTTGCCATTTTTAGTATTTTCATTGTTGTCTCATTGTTGGTTTGGTACTTCCAATACTGATGTGTTAGTTGTATCGGAGGTTCGATTCCTTCCGAGATTTTTTTATTAATAGTGGATTTTTCAAAGTAACTTATCGCTATTAGTTATGCTTTTGTTGTATTATTGCAGGTATCGGTTAACTAGGCGCTATCAGATTTTACTTGCAATGGGGGAGGATTTGGGAGAATGTATAGACTTAATAGTATTCGTTAGTGTTTAATGCCTACTTAGTTCAAAAAAAAGTATTTCGGATCAATTTATAAAGCGACATTACCAGAAGTGAGTCCGATAGTGACAACGAAGGAAAAAATTAACGATTGGTTAGGGTTCTTACTCAAGTAATAGTTAACGGAAGGAGAGAAAGAAAACTAAACGCCTACCGTGACAAGATTTCAGTGTTAGACTACGAAGAACTGGGATTCTACGGCAATCCTAGAAACGAAGAGAGCATATGCAACAATGAATTCGCTAGAATTAAAATCAAATGATAATCTTATCGAGGAACTTGTAACACAGTTCACGGAACAACCTATGGAAAATAAGAGAACGAAAAGGTTAGTGAAAGCGAAAGGCTTAGAAAGAAGTTCTGAATAATCACAGCAAACATGGGAGGCTAGTAAGAATGATGAAAGACCCTGAAACGAAAATCCTGCGATTTCCTACGAGGAAGTACCGTAGAGCTAAAAACAATTGAGATCCTAACTATCAGCCTGGGAACGGAAAAGGACATTGTAGATACTGAGGATGATATGAGCATTCAAGTGAACAAAAAAAATATATGAGGATGACCTAGCGCAATCCCGATGAGCCAAATATCTAGAACAACGGTTTCATGAACGCCAAAATGTCTTGAAAGCTTCGCATTGAGGAATGAATTGTGAATGCGCGAAGAAAATCGTTTACCCCGGAGTCTCGATAGATACTGATCAACTAGATAAAGATAATGCTAATAATTGTGTAAAAGAAAAACGCATACATCCTGAAAAATAAGCGTAACGGAGTAAGCCGATAGCAATATCAGTGGCGAAATGACGGCCCAGAATTACGTGATGGCTTAGCAGAACACAGCTACTTCGATTGAGAGCACCACTTCTAGACCGTTTGAAAACTCTCGGCGAACGCGCCGAAATGGAAGTGGGATCAAAAAAATCGTTCGCTAAAACCCTAGAAATCGATATGATTCAGACAGATCGCGAGCTTATCAAATCAAGCCTATGGAACTCTGAAAGTCATTGAGATAATTAAACGGCGAAACGAGAGAATCTTCACAAACTAAACGATGAAAAAAAATTATGTGAATAGCCCAGAAATAATAACGAAGTCAAGCTCTAAACTGATAACTAGTTCACATTAGAGTCGGCGAAATTGCGACACACATACTAAAGAAATGAGCACTTGAAAGACGAATGACAGGTTTTCTTAATCAGTGGAAATTGCGGAAGAACAGACATGCGAAAGCCAGGGCAGCGCTATGCTCACCAAATAGACAAGCATAATTGGAGTTTAGAGTAACCAATTGCCACAGCAATGACAAAGCCTGACTTTGGGAAAAAATTGTGCCACCATTGGAACCGCCGTTACTGTAATTCCAACCCACCACTCACAAACTACGTATCGTCTATTACAGCATTTCGCTAAGTTAGGTTTATAATTCAATATAATTACTTTTTTTGTTTTGAAAATATTGGGTTGAATGAAGATCTACATGAATACAATAAAAATTCTAAAATCCATCTCACACCCGAATTGTATCAGTAACCATGAAGCACTGCTTATTAATTTTGATATCGAATAATTCTGCTATGACTAATGATTTTAATTTTTATTGGGAGAATGGTAAAGAAGCAAGTGCTTTATAGTATGTAGTTTATTATAAGAAAAAAATTAGCCATGATCGACACTAATTAACAAACATTCTGTTGATTGGTAGTGTAATACCGTTGGACCGTTTAGGGGTTTGCTTGACGGGTAACCGGGAGACTGTCCGA